GGAGGAAAGAAAAGATTTAACTAGGCTTACTAAAAAAAAAAAAAAAAAAAAGAATTTTGCAAATGATGACCTGTATCATTTCACCCCTCTTTTAATATTGGTCTCATATCTATGAGACTAGCTTAAGATGAAGTCGATTGCTTTGTCACTTTAAGAAAATTCTTCCCTTTGGTTTTGGTTTGGCCTTAGGTACCCAACTGGCAACTGACTACCAGGCAGGATGCAATACAAAGATAAACAAAATGCTTCTTTAAATGTAATGAGACTGGGTAGTCAGGAAGTGAGGGAGGAGAGATTAAGACCAAAATCTCCTGTCTTCTGCTTAATATTGGACATGACATCATAAATTTGTTTAAACATTTCTTCAATTAATTGTGAGTTGTCAGAGAGGCTAAAACAACATAGTTTTTAAAATTCTTCACTTCCATGGTTATGTCTGAGTAACAGGTATTCTATAGTGGCCCTGTTTTCCAGAATAGCTTCTCTGACCTGTCCTAATGCTTTTCCCATGGCATGGATGGCTTGCGAGGTTGCATTTAAGGCTTTTGCCATGGAGCAGGCTATTCTGGTGACTTCTATATTCAGGGCATGTCATAGCTGGTACAGTAAGCAAACATAAAGCAGTATATTCAGCTAGACTAAATCTAAGTGTAGGTCACTTGTACAACTGGGGTCAAAAGTTAGTTAGTTCCCTGCAGTGCCTAGTTGGAAACTTTTGAGACATAAAACAGTCTTCACAGGGAACAAGGTCCCACAGTACTATTAGCGGGAACATAAGAGTAAACAGTCCTTCTACAAATAAGAAACTATTCAGCAGGTAATTTAACGTGTACATTGCATAGCTTACAGAAGTAGTGGAGCTGCAGTTCAAGGTCATATTATCTGAGATGTTAAAACATTGTTTAGTGCAACTAGTAAATTTTATGCATGTTTCCACTGGCATTATAACAGAAACTTTTAAAGAAAGCATAACCTTATCCTTCCTGTGGCTCGTGCGTCGGTTATGCCCCAGTCTGGTTGATGCCAGTCAAGGCCAACCAAGGGCAGGGCACTCCAGGCCTGAAAGGTTTTTATTGCCTAGGGTCACCTCAATATGGTCCCTGTGTTATGACAGCTAAAATGTGCACCTTTTTGTACTCTGCTTCCCTTACTGTCCAGTCCCATTTATTGGACACCTTAAAGACCTCTGGCACCAAGGCGGCCTGCGGGGTTTGGGGTCCAGGCCCTAACTTTTGGAGCTTCCTTTTGAATATTGGGGACAGCTCGAGTGTCTGGCCAGGGGTGTCTGGCCCTCAGACTTTGAGTCAGTGTTAGTATTCTCTAAAAGCCTCAGAAAATTGGTCAAGGCAACATAAAACACAGAAATTATTTTGATGAAGCACGGAATCCTTGTTTTCTGCTCAGAAAACTTCAGTTTCTTAGACCAATAGTCTAAGAAACATTAAAACACAACTCTAATTTTGCTTTAGTTTACTTCTGACATTTAAATTTCTAATCTTGTTTAGCTTAACCACATATAAAATTTCCTCTCAGGATTTCTCTTCACAAACCTACAACTTTCCTCATCCCTTCAGTTTGCCTCTTCTCACTCATTCAGAAATAACCAACTTTAAGACAAACACCTTTCCTTCAATTTCCTTCAAAATATATTCCCATACTTTATAACTTCTGTTACCAAAAACATACATTTTCCTTTCCATCATAATTAGAATTCTTACTCATCATCTTTATATACATAACATCAACAAATATAGATCAGAGGTCATGCACATACTCTTATTATTTCCCCATCATCACTATTTCCCTGGGGGATGTATATCTAGTTTCCTCCGAGAATGATGAAATAGATGGGGTCCTTAGAGAACTTGGTCTCCCCTCAGAGTCCGAGGGTAAAGGGGGAGGAGAAAAATTCCTGATTGCTGAGCTCTCTGGAAAGGCGCTCCTATCATCGGGCCATCTAATAAGTCTAGGTCTTGGTGAAGGAGCAGAGAAGCTGAACTTTTACCAGCACAGTAGTCCTGGAGTGCCTGGGCTTGCCATTAAACCACACCAGTGGATTAACTTGTTGGTCAATGTTTTCCGGTATATTAGCTGATGCTTGAAGCATTAAAAGCTTCTGATATATTAGCTGATTCTTGAAGTATTAAAAGTCTGGTGGGGTCTACACCAGGGTTGTAATATTGCTCCTAATTTAGTTAAAATATCCCATCATAACAAGGGAGCTGGAAAGATTGGAACTACTAAAAACTGCTGAGAGATCCGATCTTTAGATTGGCAGGTCAGTGGTAGAGTAAAATGGTTGACTTTACCTTTTCCTCCTACTCCTATGATAATCATAGTTCGTGAGGAAGGTTTTCCTGCAAATGCAGGAAGAGCAGAATAGGTTGTCCCTCTGTCTAAAACAAATGGAATTTGTTTACCGCTTACGTCCAGAGTTACCTGGGGTTCCTAGGTAGTGATGATGACATTCCTGGACAGGGATGGCAAGGATGGCCCTGGGCCTCTTCAGTCACACAGTTCCTGGACCTGGGCTATTGGGGTATTGGCTCGCCAGCCCCCTCTCTGGGAGCATGGGCAGTCAACTCTCCAATGCTAGAGATTAGTAGTGGGTTCTTTACATGGTGGGAGGGGTTCGGGGGCTTTTCGGTACAGTCTTTTGCCCAATGTCCTGCTTTCTTGAATTTGAAGCAAGAACTCGTTGTCTCCTTATTCCCCGGTATCTTAGGGACGCTTGTCTGGTACCAAAGGCTTGGCCAATTGTGACAACCATTCTCCTGGTTTGCTGTTTTTCTATATTCTGTTCTCTTTTTCTCTTTTCAAGATCTCGATTGTTAGAGGCCATGAAGGCTGTATCTAGTAATTGATTTTGGTTAGTCTGTGGCCCCATTTGCAGCTTTTGAAGCTGATATCAGAGGCTGATTGGCTAATAAAAGCTAACTCCACAGAGGAAGTAGGATCTATATTAGTATATCTCCTAAAAGCTTCTTCTAGCCATTCATAAAAGCTGACAGGATTCTCTTTCTCGAATAATGGTCCTAAGCTTCTCATAGTTCACTGACTTTTGTATACTTTTTTTCATTCCCCCAGTGAGGACCTCTAAAAATCTGGCACATCTGGCCATTCTCTCTTGGGTATTATAGTTCTAATCAGGATCAGCTAAAGGTACTACATCTGACCTGGGGGCATTGCCCCGGGGTTCCTATCAAAGGCCTTATCTGCCTCCTGACAGGCCCCGTTAGAATGCCGTCCTTTTCAATGGTTGTACAGCAGGTGGTTAAACTAAATTGGATGTCTTTTCAGGAAAGATCAAAGGCCAGAGTCAGAGTTTGAAATCCGTCTGCAAACTTGTTTAGATCTTAGAATATCTTCCTAATTTTCTTCACATTGTTGAATATCAGTGATGGAAAAAGGTGCTTGCATCCTAATGGTGCCTTCCACCCCAGCCAGAGGCAGGAGGGTAGAAGGAAGGGCAGTATATAGAGCACTACTTAGAGTATGAGGAGGGCTAAGAATAGCTTCTGACTCCCTGGTAGAGCCTTTGGAGAAGGAGAATTATGCACTGGTGGCTGAGCTTCCCTCTGAGGGCCAGGTTGGGTATTAAGTAATGAGTCATCTATGATATCTGGCTCTGGTTTTTATTTGTCCTTGCCATGAGGCTTCTGGTAGTCTGGGCATAAAAATGGATCTTGGTAGAGGGCTATAAAGGCCTGAACATATGGAACTTCCAAGCATTTGCCCTCCCTTTTTCAAAATAAGTCTAGTTGAAGGATGATATTATAATTAAGACTTCCATTAGGGGCCATTGCTCTCGACCTCCTAGTTTATATTGTGGCCAAGCTACATTACAATAAAAGACAAGGTGATTCCTTTTTAAGTTATCGGGATTGAACTTGTCCCAACGGTTAAGGATACAACTGAGAGGTGAGTCAACGGCTTATTTCCCATGGTGGTCTGTAAATAGAAGGGAAAGTCTAAGAAGAGTTTCAGTAGGAAGGACAAGGCCCTCCATGAGGTGTCCCTCAAGGTGGTGGCGAGGTCCAGGGGAGGGTCTTCTGGGTCGTCACCCTGTGAAGTCCCTAATTTAGGATGCCGGATGTCTCAAGCCTTGCATAAGCACTGGTGCTACTTTTCTGATGCTTGGACTCAAATTTAGACTTAACTTTTGGCATGGGCTTAGGCTCAGGCTTTTTCCATTAATTATGGCCTATGATAACTCTGGGCACCCCTGGGTCTACCCCTCGGCTTTTGGTATACTACCAGTTGAGAAACCATTGTTCTACTACTGCACCCTGGAATGTTATAACCTTAACCAAAGTTCGTAGGGCAAGGGCAGTCAAGGAAGGTGCAGAACGCAGCCTTGCTTTCGACCCTAAAGAGAGTCCTAAGATTTACCAGATCAGAGGATACCTTAAAATGGGGGCAAGAAGAAGTCTCTGAGGGCCACTGAGGTCGGCAAAAACCAGATGTTGGAAATGAATGGTCCAGAAAAGAGGGTCAGCGAGAGTTCCTCTTCTGGGGAAACTATACTCAAGATAAGAGGTAGAGCAGATGGTACAGGGCGAATTGCAGTGGAAAAACAGATTAAGGAGGAGCTAAGCCTGAGGTCCCCAGAGGAACGTAGCCAGATGGTGGAAAAGAGCCGGAAAAGTGAAATCAAAGCAACACAGAGACATAATGCCATAAGAGTAGAACCCCCAAGACGAAGAGGAAAAGATCCCCCTGAAAGGGGGCTTACCTCCTGGCTGGCTCGGCATAGGACTGTGATGTCATTTGCATCAACCAGTGGTTACTAATTGTAGCTTTCTCAGGATGGATGCACATTTCAACATTTCTAGAAGAGGATGGTGTGGAGTATTTTAGTGTGGACTAATGCCTTCTAACCTTTTGAAAATGGATATCAGTCCTGTTTAAAAATAACCCACCCTGCAGAGAACGCATGGCAGGGCCATTGGAACTGGTAACTGTAATCTTGATCGCTGCCTCTCTCTTCTGTTATCAAGGGGATCATCCAAGATGGGAAAATCATCTTTATGCCGAACGGATACATAACGCAATGTCCGAACTTGAATCGCAGTAAGTAGCAACTTAAAGCATTTGTGAACTTTAAATATTCTATAACTTGAGAATATCAGAGAAACAGGCGAGGAAGGAGATGGCACACACTATTTACAATGTTGCCTGATGAGGTGGTAAAGATAGTGGTAAGGAGAGTGGAAGAGAACTTATCCATAATACGTGCTTCTGTGTCTTTGAATTTTTAAAAAGCTTATATGTTACTTGTAGAATTAAAATGTGAAGGTAAGAAAAAGATTACATTAGCAGTTTGCATTCTGTAGATTGGTAGAGAAAGATATCTTTCATATAATTATATGTATTTAAAAAACTATTCTTTAAATTGCTTGATCTGGATGTGAGTTTACTTTTTCCTCTTCTATGATAATTTGCATTTTTTCAGTCACTTCTAAAGAAAAATGAGGATTTAATTTTATTTTAAAATTGTTATATTGCCTTTCAGTTAACAGTCTTTTTTTTTCTGTTTCTTTCTTGTTTATTAATAAAAGGGAAAGATCTAGACCTGAAATCCTCTGTGATTTCACACCAATTTCAAAGCAATACTTAACCAGAAAAGCAAAATCCCTTCTACATAGTCAAACAGCTAGCGTTTAAAAAATTTCTTTCTTTTATTAGCACTGTATCAACATTTATTTTGTATTTTCTTTATTGAGCTTGCCCAACTTGTAGTGATTTCTTAAGCCTGGTGCAAGGAATAATGGATTTACAAGAGCTTTTGGCCAAGATGACTGCAAAAGTAGGTATCTAAATTTCACTTGTGATGTTTCATTTCTTTATCCATGCAATCTGGAATTTAGAGTGATATGCTATAATGGAAACATTTTTATCCTTGGCATCTCCAATATGTTATGAAAATGGTTTATTCTCGAAATAGTACTACCTATATAGTAAACATAACCATTTCTGTCTGTGATACTATTAGGCTGTATCAAAATGTTTACTTGAAAAATGTTTGGAAGAAAGAGGCAATATGTATCACCATCGATTCCCTGGGAGTGGAAAGGAATTTGCCCATTGGCTATTAAACTAGTATCACTGTGAGATGATATATGGTTGGAGCCCCTGTTGCTTATAAACTAATGCATTTTGGATGTAAGAATAATTGCCAATAATCAGAAGGGGCAAAATAGCTATTGTAAGGAAGAGATTACTGTCAGAAGAAGGCATTATATCATGTTTCTAATGTATGATTCACTTTGCGACTGGTCCTGAGTTAAATAGTGAAGGAGGCAGAGTTTGCCTTTCAGCACCTTCAGTCTTATAATTCCGTATCTTTTCCTCTTCTCCATCAGCCACTTAACAAGACTCTTTTGCAGATCTGCCATTTGCCAGGGTGTCAAGTACAAAGGAAGCACTGATGAACAAGACATAATTTCTACCCCAGAGATAGTCATGTCCAGTGGCAGAACCAAACATGTAAACAATTAGCAGCTTTAATATATATTCATAACATTTAGATTCATAATAGAAAGCCCTGGGCTTGTGGAGAAAGGCACTGAGTGAATAGACAATGTGGCTAATGCTGTTGTTGTTATAAAATCAATCCTGGACATAAGTTGTGGCCTAGGGTGAAGAGAAAATTGGGTTGGACCTAAGAGATGTTATACTCTGTGAAAGGAAGAATTTTTATAACAGTGACAATGATCCATTAATCCCATTCTACTGGTGGCTGTGACTGCTCTCTGCCATCAGCTATGGCATGTGGAAAAAAAAATTGGTGGGTAGGTAAGTGTTTTGAAGGTAGAGCTGTATTTTGGACCCATAGACTGCATTGCTGAAGATAACGTGTCTGTTTCAAACTCGGTTTTTAGCCTAGTCCACTTTTGTCTGGAGAGAGAGAACACTTTTTTGAGAGAGAAACAGACTGAGACTCGAGAGTTGGAGTATTAGCTTTTTCACTTCAGAGTACAGTGGAAATGTGAAATGCAGTCAATTATTTGCCTTCCCAGCTTGTGGCAGATAGAGGCTTTTATTTCATCTTTTCTGGAGCAGCTTGATCTCAATACTGTTAATTATATCTTAGCTTGCTGCCAAACTTTTGAAACAAGAAACATGCCACTCATTCTCAGGTGTGGCTGTCCCCTCGCTGGCTCTGAGGATGTTCTTTTTTTTTTTCTTAGTCCTTCCTGTTACTTGGAATGCCCTTCTTTTTTTGGCCATACATTATCCAGAAGCCACACTGAACTCTGTCTTCAAACCATTGTTATATAAAATGAACATTTGTGAGGCAGAGATATTTAACTATGGGCAATTGCAAGCAGAAAATAATTGAATCCACCTCAACCTCTTTACTCCCCTTCCCCCACTCCAGGCACTTTGGAAGATTTATAAGTCTGTTTCTTCCAAACTGTGAATAGAATTATAATTAGAAAATTTGAGTACTTCCATTTTCACTGCATAATTTGGAATCTGTGATAATCTAGAAGAGGAATTGGCAAACTTTTTCTGTAAAGGGCCAGCTGGTGAATTTTAGGCTTTGTAGGCCAAGAGGCAAAATTCAGAACATTATGTGTATACTCATTTTATTTAAATATAATCATTTAAAATTTAACCATTGAAAAATGTAAATATTATTCTTAGCTCAAAGACCATACAAAAGTAAGTGGTGTGTGAGATTTGGTCCATGGGCCTAGTTTGTCAAGCCCTGAGCCAGAAGAAGCTGGAAAGTTGCTCATACTAGGTAATATTTATTGAGTATTTACTATGTGTAAATTACGATACTTCAACTTTTTATATTCCCTGTCACTTTAATCCTCACAACAGTCCTGTGAGCTGGGCTTGATTTATTAGCCCTCATTCCAAAGAAGACGACTGAGTTCCAAGAAAGTTATATAACATTCTTTTTTCTTTTTTTACAGTTGTGTAACTTTTCTGAAGATAGTAGATGGCAGAATTGGGACGCAAATTCAGATTCTGAAAGTTGAATCGTGACTGAGAGAGTTCATAGTTGGAGAAGAGAGGTTTAGAAAGAGAAACAAAAATATAAAGAAGGAATGACTGATGGAGAGAGGGAGGTGGATGCTGCAGCGGGGGGATGGAGGTATCAGAAGAAGAATGAGCAATAAAAAGAGAGGAAAAGGGTAGGACTGAACGTTCAGATGGCGCCTGTTGGGAGTGAAAAGTGAGCATAGGGCTTGTAGCAGCTTTTAAAGGGGAAGGTCAGGGTAGGAACCCAACCTTTTAACTCACTCTTTGGGTTACAACCACTTGTTTGCCTTGGACATACTTGAAATTTTCTGAGTCCTGGTTTGACATTGTATGCGCTTCTGCCAGGACCACATAAGGGCTATCTTATATCACATTATCTCCTTAAGGGTCTTTGGATCACAGAGACTGCTCAGAATTGGACTGCAAGTGTAGGATAGGGCAGGTGAATTCTCAGGAAAGAATTCTTTTAAATTCTCAGGGTAGATATTTCCCTCTAGCTGGTGCCAAGATCTGAACAGGAAGATCTTTCTGTGTCTTGTGCAAGCCTCGTTTCTTTTTTGTGCACCCTTAAAATGAGGTTACAGCCTTTTGGGGCCCAAATCTTTATGTAGGAGTTTCCTTTAAGACACCCACATTGGGCAGGCCCTATTCTCTAACTCCTCTTTCTTGTACACTGTGCAGCCATCAGGTGAGAGCTCCAGGGTTCATTGGATTTGTTGCAGCTGCAGTTTCCCCATATGTAAATTGGTAAACATTGTTTTAGGTTTTCTGAAGATCTCATGTGACCAGGCAAGTGAGATTTGGAGGTTGGGCATTCAGTAAGTAGTGACTCGATTATATTGTTATACCTGGGAAAAAATAGGCAACTATGAGAGGAAGATGGTCTCTAAGGAAACATACACTTTCCCCAATGGCTTGGCACCCTGCAGCCTGGCAGAGTCTGCAAGTTGATGTCAGGACCCGGGCCTAGAGCCAGGTGCTGGGAGGTCTTGGAAAACAGCAGAAAGTCCTCACATTTGTGTTACAGTGGAAGCCATAGAATCATACCAGAGAGCAAGCCGAGTGCACAAGCTAGTCAGTGATAGTAGTCAAAATCACATCAAACCAAACAGATGCAGACACCAGATTTGCTGTTCCTTTTCTCTGTTCAAGTAGGGAGGCTGGAGAATAATGATACCCTGGCTTGCCACAGGACAGATCATGGGAACTGCTTGCATGTGCCTTCAGGTGACAGTGATCAGGGTGCACAAGACCCCTCTTGAAGAATTCTGTCATTCTGGCAAAACCGGAGATTTTTTCCCAATTCAGAGAAGGAGTAGGGAAATTGTTTCCTACTACTTCCACTTAGTGATCCATAAGAGACCACCAATCCCCTGGCTTGCTCTGGAAGTTTTTCCAGGTAGTCTTGACATTGAAGAAAGCACCCACCTACTGGGCCAGGTACACTGAGATAGGGTCGAGCTCTGCCCTGCTCTTCAAGCTCAGGAAGAAGAGATGCTGGATACTGGGAATTTCTGGATTACTTCTGTTTAAATCGTTGACAGATCTATTTATGCAAATTAAGCAGCACTTGGAGTGGCATTTCAGCTTGTAACATATTTAATATTGAGACTTTCATTGTTTCAAGGAGCTCAATAGTGATTTTTCAATTAAGCTTAAAGTTTTAACACAATTGAAGATTTCTTTTTTCCCTTCCATATAGAGAATGCCAGATAGTGTTACAAAGAAAAAAAAAAAGAATGCAATCTACTACACCACTAATGTACTCAGATCCATTCATTTGACCTCTTACTGTTGAAAAGGCTTCTGCTGTCTATCTTTGAATGGGTAGAGTTAAGCATAAATGATTTAGTCCATGGTTGCTTAGGTAAATGCATGAACAAAGGTAAAAAGAAAAACCAGAGATGTAGATTTGATACTGTATCTGTTTTCGATCTGCAGGCATTTTTGGAGAAAATGGCAGATAGTGTAGAAATAGCTTTTGAAAATGAATTTGTGTAAATTCAGCATGCTAATACCAGTGACAGAATATGTAATTTTGATTCAGAGTTGTTTTTCTCCTTTATTGTTGCAACAGAATTTAGCAGGGGAAAAAGGAAGGCAAGATTACGTAACTAAGTGCCTTTGAAAAGTTTACTTTTTGCTTTAATATCTCTTTGTCTTTGTGCCTGTCTGGTGTACTCTTATATTATAGAAATTAGGGCTTTTCAGTGTTATCAGAAAAAGCTAAATATATTAAAAAATACAGTTCAGAAGAGAAACAAAGTCAGCCTTGACAATAGCTTCCCTTGTCTTAAAACTGATGCTTTCCTTGGAATTGAGTTTTATAGTTAGGTATAGCTCAGCTTTGTTGGACAGTCCTGGAAATTGTCAGTATTACCCATAGACAAGCTCCTGGATTTTCAGGAAACTGGGACAGATGCAGAATTGCCTTTTGGGTCATTTGGTCTTTAAAAAGTTCCCTTTTTGGAGTGCTACAGATAATAGAGTTCCAAATTTTCAGAGTGAGACAGGCTCATTTTCTGTCACAGATACCCATTCTCAGCCACTTTTAGGAGGGATGCAGATCGAGTTCACCTCTTTCTTGATCAGTCTTAGCTCAGCCATCAAGCACCGCCTTTTATAGGAACTACTGGGCATATAGAAATGAAGTAAAGATAATATGTGATGTTATCACTTCCTTCTTATTATCTTTTGCCTACACATGGTTTGGGCAGTTGACCTCACCAAACTTTTGGGAGTGTATTTTATCTTTGTTTTCTAAAGAATTCCCAAAGAGCTTAATTATCATAAATTCTGGAAACTCCATGATTAGGCTGGAGATTTAAATGTCATCTCAATTTTTGAAAGATGATGCATCTTAGGAAAGTCATACGAAGCTAATATTTCAGGCATAGTCAACTCTCAGTTTCTTCAGGGCTGATTATGGTGCTTGTGGTGTGTCCAGGATCCTATTTGTTCTTTTCCCTTCCCATTGGCACCACCTACAAAAGGCAGACAAGGGACAACTTTTCTTGAGAAATTCCAAAAGCTTAGACGAAGAGGATGTAATAAGTGACAAAAACCAAGTTTTTTTTTTTTTTTTTTTTAAATATATGGATCCATTACATATGCTATTGGATTGAGTTACTTCTTACTATGGATATGACAACGAAGAGATCACAGCAAAGTTCAGTTTTTTTGCTACCATATTTGTGAAGGCAAACTGGAGTGGGCTGCATGGAAAGTGATCAGGAGAGAGGGTTGGAACCATGTCATGAGGAGCTGTTACGGGAACTTGGTGGAATGGTGCTGGCTTTGGTTGGAAGCAGGCACGAGGACAGGAGAACCTTAAATGTTTGAGGAGAGGTTAGATTTGCTCAGGAATCTTAAATGTTTGAGGAGAGGTTAGATTTGCTCAGGATGGTTACAAGGCAAAACTGGATATAAGAAGAAAAAAGGGAGAGATTTCAAGGCTCAAGCCAGGAAAGATATTTCAGGGCTAACTACAAAAAGACTTTCCTTGGGACGTAATGAGTGTCCCACCACAGTAGATGTACATGCATAGGCGGATAATCACTTGATAGGGTTACCTGTGAGGACATTCAAGCTTTATAACCCCTTTCAAATCAAAGATACTGAGATTCTGTGATTAATGGTAACAATTAGGTGACCTAGAAAAATGAAAAAGGTTCTTTTGCCAAATCTTGATCTCACCTGGGGGTTTAGTCACCTCTCCTGACCTTTATCTGAACACCAGAGTGGATTCTTGGGGCATTCTCTTTGGGGGATCCTGAGCTGGAGAGAAACTAGATCCTTCTGTGACTCTCCCTTTTTTCAGGCCCCAGCTGCCCATATTTTTTCTTAAGAGAGGAAGCAATGACTTCTCAGCTTGTCAACCATGACACTCTGGTTAGTGTGTGAAGAACACAGAGAGGATGGTGGGAGATAAATATAAGTGTGTCGGAGTTCCTGATGAGGTCTCCTGTAAACACGGTAATGAGCCCTTGAGAACACATTCATTATGAGTGTTTTCATGTGGGCTTTCAGCCGAAGGCACATGTGTTTGTGAACACCCAGGAGGTCCCTGAGATACAGTTTAATGTCTCATTTGGTGCTCATTAGACCATGAGAGCCAGTATGTCTTTAATTTAGAGTGATTCTACTTCATGTAAAAAGAGAAAAAAAAATATATAACAAAAAACAGAGCTGACTAAGAATCAGTGAGCTGCTCTGAGAATTTTTTACCCTTCCTACTTGGATTTTTTGTTGTTGTTGTTGTTGTTGCTATTAGCTTTGTTAGGACAATGCAACTGAGTTACAGAAATTACACTTAGTAACTGTTGTTTGCAGCTAAATTATGCAGAGACAAGACTTAGTCAATTGGAAAACTGTCATTGCGAGAAGACCTGTCAAGTGAGTGGACTGCTCTATAGAGACCAAGACTCCTGGGTGGATGGTGATCACTGCAGGAACTGCACATGTAAGGTAAGCCCGCTTGTAAATAAATAACAACAGTTTTAACAGGACAGTTCCATGATTGTTCTGTAATCTTGTTTTTTAATGTAAAATGCTAACTCTAAGACATGTTACCTTTTTGCCAAGAGTTTGCGAAGTAGTCTATACGGTTGTGAAGGGAAGGGTGTCATTTCATATACAAATGCTTGGAAATTAAAATCTACTTTCCCTTGACAACACAGTCTAATATGATCTAATATTATTATGAGAAGCTCACTGGAGCTTGGAGGCTAGAGTGTCAGGGAGGAAGGGACTCCTTTGATTTTTCAAACAACCTAATAGCTTCATTCATAACTTTTCTCTGCTAGAATAAGTTTTAAAAGGGTTTAATTAATTTCTGGGTGTTTTATTATATTTTTCAAGGTATCAATCATCTGTTTCAGAGAATTGTAAGACCCCTCAACTTTCAGGGCATCCTTCATCTGTTCCAGAAAATTACAAAAGCTGCACCCCCTCCCGCCCATCACCACCGCCATTAGTACGTAAACCCTGTACAGTTGAAATTATTTGATAAATATCTGAAGAATGCCACTGTTTGTCTGGGAAAATACAAAACACATTGTTAGAGCCTCGACAATGATTGACAGGGTCTGCAAAAGGTGTTATTTATGTTCTTTTAAAAACAGGCTTTTTTGTTTTCTGCCTAATCTATTTAGCCCACACGGGCAGGTGGAATGAAGCCAGTGATGTATATCAGAAAAGTAATTGAGGTGGCACGAGTTCATTCAGGCTGGAAAAGATATTTTATTTGTGGTCCTGGAGTGGACTGGGAATTCCTCACAGTGCTTCTGTTTTCCTGATGAGGTTTCTGGGATGAGCTGTGAGCTTTTTTACAATGGAACTTTCAAAGGGCACTTCTGAGATGCCTTTCCCTGTCCTTCCTCCCTCA